CAGAGAAGGTGATAAAATACTCCATCGCAACACATCCGTTATCGCAACCGCGCAGCTCGACGGATCCGCAGAAGAGAAACAGACCTCTCGCCAAGGATAAGATGCAAAAAAGTGTCGCAACTCATCCCAATCAGCTGACTTATACCGCCATATTCGTCGAACACCTCGGGACTCGTAATTAGGTGGAGAATATGACGATACAGATTTCACCAGACAGTGGTCAGATGTACCCAAAGGAGAGTTGTACTTCATATCTGTCTGGTTCGGTAGTCAGCAGAAGGTCCAAGCAATTTGCTGTGTGACCGTTTATATCCGGTACCCTAGTCGCTACCTTTACCATCTGAGAAAGACCTAGCGTCTTGCGAAATTCCACGCTTCTCTTCCAGCATGGTCGGTCTTCTGGTATGGGAACAGCCAGTCTTGGTGACAAGCGTTAAAGTCCCCCAAAAAGATCAACTGTGCAGTAGGATACCGATTTAGGGCCACGTCAGCAGCCTCACTAAGGTGATTAAATAATTGTGTTGTCTCCTGGTCACCGCTGTGCGATCAATAGACACAGGCATAAAGGATTTTATCAATACCTGTATCTACCATCACGCAGATTGTCGAAAAAGTGGGGTCTTCAAGGTGACAGAGACGCTGGAAGCAGATGTCATTGCGGACGTACACACATACTCCGGCACGTGGATGGAATTTGTGCTCCAGGGAGAATCCAGGATAGTCAAGGTACGCACGCCGCATTCAATGGACATCCAATTTGCGTCTCCGTCAAGAAAAGTAGGTGCGGCTTCTCAGTCTCAAGATGGTGATGGACTGCGCTGAGATTAGAGTGCAATCCTCGAATATTAGTGAGGTGCACTTTTAGTGAGAGTACGTGCAACCGCTGTTTAACACTACTTTTCTTTTTAATGTACATATTAAGTGTTGAGAGTGAATAAGGATGGAGAATGGCAGTTGAACGAGGCGTTACATTAGCAACCAAACGATACTATCAGAGTTACTTTGCCCATGGGAACTTGGTATCTGGATACTGTGGGGATGCCCGAACCACTTTTTTAATGTAAAAATAGCAAATTCACAAGTTCCACAATCATTTATCTTTCTGACAATGTGCTTTTTATACGAGAGGCACACTGAAATGATCGGGAATAGAATATTTCGGAATGAGTTAAAATAAAACCTTTTTTAGAATTTGAATACTGGCCTCTTAGAATCTTAATGACATTCAAACAATTAAAAAATGTTTAAAAACAAAAACTATGTTGGTTTTAAGTTGACATGTAGTTAACAGAAATGGAGCTCACGCGTGAACATTTCCGTGCCATAATTTATCACAATTTTCGTCGCGGCTTATGTCAAGATAAATGTTTCAGTGAACTTGTTTCGATTTATGATGCTGAAGCACCGAGTCAAACGACAATATACCGCTCGTATGCTGAGTTCCGACGCAGTCTTACTGTTTTAATGATTGGTTTGCACGAATGGCGTGAAGTAGAAGCTTTGCTTCTGCGTTTCGTCTGGTGAGTGCAGGTGGCCGGAGGCCCAATCCCCCCCCCCCCCATTAACATGGTAGCGGAATTACACGAAGAACTACCCCAGGAGGGAACTATACCAGCACCCCTGGAGAATCCCTCGCTGAGCATCCACGACCATGTTATTCCGATCCTGAGCGTGGGTGCTCAGGCTGCCCCGCGTATTCTGGGGGGGGCAAAATTCCGCTCAAAAGCATTACTGATAGGGGCAAACTGAGCAAGAACACCAAGGCGACCCCTGCCACGCTATCCGTGAATTTCTGCAACATCAGGGGACTTCACTCTAACCTAAACGCCGTCCACTACCATCTCGAGACGGCGAAGCCGGCCTTGCTCTTTCTGACCGAGACGCAGGTTTCCTCTCCGGCTGATATTTCGTATCTCTCCTACCCGGGGTACAAATTGGAGCATTCCTTTGTGCCTCGGGCTGGAGTTTGCGTGTATGTCAGAGAGGACATCTGTTCTCGACGCCTCGGCAGTCTTGAAGGTTCGGACCTGTCCATCCTTTGGCTACGCGTAGATAGCGACGACCATCCGCGCGTCTACGGGTGCCTCTATAGGTCCCATAGCGGTAATGCCGAAACAGACCGACTCATCGACCACGTCCAAATGGCTACAGATTTCTTGCTACAACAGGCCCCATCCGCAGAGATCGTGATCCTTGGCGATTTTAACGCCCACCATGCCGAATGGCTCGGTTCACGTCTAACCGATCATGCGGGGAGATCTGTTTATGACTTTGCCTTGGCATATGGTCTGACACAACTGGTTACTTCGCCTACGCGGATTCCAGATGTGGAGGATCATACACCTTCCCTGTTGGACCTTCTGCTGACCTCTCATCCGGACGGATATCAGGTTTCCGTCGATGCCCCTCTCGGCTCTTCGGACCATTGTCTGATCCGGAGTGTGGTGCCACTCACGCTCCCTTCGCGGTTGCGTTCTGCAGGTTGCCGCCGTGTTTGGCATTACAGGTCGGCGGATTGGGACGGAATGCGGTCCTTCTTTGCATCCTACCCATGGGGGCGGGTTTGCTTCTCGCCGGATGATCCCAGCGCTGTTGCTGACTCTGTCACTGATGTGGTGCTACAGTGAATGGAACTATTTATTCCATCATCTGTGGTACCCATCGGAGGCAGATCTCAGCCTTGGTTTGGTCGCTCCTGTAAGACTGCATTACGCAGTAAGCAGGAGTGTTATCAAGCCTGGGCTGCAGCTTCGGCGACTCGGGATGTAAATACCAGCACACTTAAAAAGAAGTATAACTTCGCCTCCAGGTCCTTCAAGAGTTATTGCCAAGGCAAAGTCAGAGCACATAGGCAGAATTGGCGAGAAACTAGTTCGCCTTCCTTCGGGAACCCGTGCATTCTGGTCTCTCGCCAAGGCTGTCCAAGGGAATTTCTGTAAGCCATCACTACCATCTCTGCACAGGGAGGATGACTCACTGGCCCATGACGCAAAAGACAAAGCCGACCTTTTAGGCTCCCTTTTTGCGTCCAACTCGACTCTTGATGGCGGGGGGAAAACACCGCCGACCATCTCGCGGTGTGAGTGCTCCATGACGGATGTGCTGTTCTCACAGCGCTCGGTTCGCAAAGCACTGCTCTCCCTGGACATCCAGAAGTCGAGTGGGCCTGACGGAATCCCCCCAATTGTGCTGAGGACGTGTGCTCCGGAGTTGGCACTGGTGCTAACGCGTCTTTTCCGGTACTCCTACTCCCAAGGCGTAGTCCCGAATTCATGGAAGACAGCTTTTGTCCACCCGATCCCTAAAAAAGGCGACCGCTCAGACCCATCCAACTATAGGCCTATCGCGATCACCTCCTTGTTCTCCAAAATAATGGAATCCATTATTAACTGCCAGCTCATCCGGTACCTTGAGGATCACCAGCTGATTAGTGACCGCCAATACGGTTTTCGTCGAGGTCGATCAGCTGGTGATCTTCTGGTCTACCTGACCCATAGATGGGCGGAGGCAGTAGAGTCCAAGGGGGAGGCGTTGGCCGTTAGTCTGGACATTGCGAAGGCCTTCGATCGGGTTTGGCACAAAGCGCTTCTTTCGAAGCTCCCTTCCTATGGGCTTCCCGAGAAATTGTGCAATTGGATCACCAGCTTCCTTGCAGATCGGAGCATCAAGGTCGTTGTAGACGGTGCATGCTCTGACTACAAGCCTATTAACGCTGGTGTTCCACAAGGCTGTGTGCTATCACCAACGCTGTTTCTTCTGCATATCAATGATATGTTGCTAACTGGTAACATTCATTGCTATGCGGATGACAGCACTGGTGATGCTCTATACACCGGCCGTGCCAATATTTCTCGGGAAAACGTCGCTGAGTACCGGAACAAACTTGTGTCTGAAGTCGAGTCTTTGCTGAACAAAGTCTCGGATTGGGGGCGACTAAATCTAGTCCAATTTAATCCTCAGAAGACACAAGTTTGCGCGTTTACCGCTAAAAAGAACCCCTTTGTCGTATCTACTCAGTTTCAAGGCACTCCCCTTCTTGCCTCAGCCAGTATCGGTATCCTCGGAGTCGACATATCGAGTGACGTGCAGTTTCGTGGTCACTTGGAAGGGAAGGTCAAATTGGCCTCTAAAAAGCTTGGCGTGCTCAGCAGAGCGGGACAGTATTTCATGCCGGCACACCGCCTGCTACTTTACAAGGCGCAAGTTCGGCCTCACATGGAATACTGTTCCCATCTCTGGGCAGGGGCTCCCCAGTGCCAGCTCCTTCCACTTGACCGCATTCAACGCAGAGCGGCTCGAATTGTCGACGACCGAGCCCTTTCCGATCGGCTCGATTCATTAGCACTGCGAAGAGATGTTGCATCCCTTTGCATTTTCTTTCGCATCTACCATGGGGAGTGCTCTGAGGAATTGTTCGGATTAATCCCAGCCGCCAAATTTCACGAACGCACATCGCGGCAGAACTCCCGATACCATCCACACCATCTGGATGATTGGCGGTCCACCACTGTGCGATTTAGAAGATGTTTTCTTCCTCGCACGACCTCCTTGTGGAATCGATTACCATCAGCGATTTTTCCGGACCGATACGACTTAGGGACCTTCAAGAAAAGAGCGTACTCCCTTTTAAAAGGCCGGCAACGCATCTGCGATTCCCCTGGTGTTGCAGTTGTTCATGGGCGGCGGTAGTCACTTACCATCAGGTGAGCCGCATGCTCGTTTGCCCCCTCTCCTATAAAAAAAAAATGGAGAAGTGCATTAAGTTGAACGGAGAATACTTCGAAAAACAATAAAATACAATTTAGCTATACCGTGCATGTGGTTTTTCTTATTCGCGATCATTTCAGTGTGTATCATTTATATGTTCAATATAATTGTAAGACACGATTTCATGCCACAAAACGTTGGGATCTTGATTTTTAGGCACTAGTAGAACATACTTACGCGCTTTGCGCTTAAGACATGCAATAAAAAAAAAAATAAGATGAGCAAGGGAATACCTTATCTTTCTTAGGTTTCTCCTTCTTATCGGGCGCAGGTTTGATGGTGATAGCCGGCTCTTTAAGCAGCAACGGCGTGCTAGCGAACGAAGGTGTCAGCACATCTGCAAGGTAAGTACAGAAAACCATGGATTAATGGATTAATACAAATTTTACGGATTTTATCGCATTTCATTTTAACTTGTTTTATTCGCAACGTTTCGACCACTTTCCGCTTACTTACTAACACACTTTACACTTTAAAGTATTAATTTTTGGTTCGATTTAACAAGCTTAAGGGTGTTGAAAGTGCCCGAAACGTCGAAAATTTAAAAAATGAAATGGAAAAATTTAACGCGATATAATCTATAATATTAGTTTTATTCCATAGAATAAATCAATTTAATTGAATAAGCAATTATGTTCAATGACTATTTTTATGAATTAAGCAACAGTGTCTTTATAAATATGTTGAAAATTAATTATGGCAACATGAAAAGTCTACTCGAACTGTATATCTCGTAAGAATTGATTTCGGTAGATGCTAGGAAGATCTCGTACTTTGCAAGGGATGATGGTATAATTATCTTGTATACTATATAGATGTATTGAAAACAGAATAACTGATAGATATTTAAACGGTGATTCTCACCACTATCCTTCACAGCTATCGTGAGTAAATGTTTGTTTCAAAGAGCACGTGGTATCTGTGACAGTAAAAACCTGGCCGCCGCGAGCTACAACACGTAAAGCAAGTATTGCAAGCTTCGGGTTCCGCGTCGGTCACACTCGAGCGAGTGTCTGCTGTACTGCCATATGTCAGAGGTGTCACAGATAAGATTGGTTATATCTTGAAGAGCGTTTCCTTTAGAAACTACTTCAAGCCGCTGAAGAAGATTTGTCAGTTTTTAACATCAGTCAAGTGTAATGTTCCTCTACAAGATGTAGGAGTGTACAAGCTTGTTTGTGGTCTTTTTATCCTAACCCAAGCATACAATAAATGTAATACTTCAAGATATTATAAGTTCATGCTGCGTAGATCAGAACAAAAATTTATAATTTTAATCTGAAGGCAGGTCTATGACATTGGGACGTCGAACACCTCAGTCTTCCCGTGACCTAGGTGTTGTAAAGTGTTCGAAACCTTGGAAGTATAAGTGTAATAAAAGTAATAAAACAGTGATAGAGCCACGCGGCAGCTTTTGCTGTCGCACGGATGAGCCGGCTCGAACCGGGGTGGTACCACGACCTCACAGAAAACCAGCGTGAAGTAGAAGTTTACCTCTGCGTTTCGCTTGGTGAGTGCAGGTGGCCCGAGGCCCTTTTTACTGGAAATGAGGCATTCCATCTTAAGTCTTCACGGGTGACAACGCATCTACATGTTGATTTGTAATAGAGGATAGATGTAGATGTCTATGGGCCGCAGCAACCAATTACCATCAGGTGGACTGTGTGCTCGTTTGTTATTCTTAACCTATAAAAAAAATTCATATACGACTAAAATCCGTAAAAACTAGAAGATTTCTTAGGGGAGATCTTATGGTTCGAATAAATATATTATTTCTGTTCACAAGCAAAATACGCGCGTAGATGTGGAGTTGCGGAAAATATCCCGTCGTTAATAAAGTAACTAACTATTTGTAAAAGCTAGTTTTATTTATTTTTTTGATATAAGAAATTGAAATTAATTTTTGTAACGTAATTTTTTTTATTTTGGGGTCTCTTATTTTATACTCTTTTGAAGGAAAGAGTATTGATGCAAAAAGTAAAAAAAAGTCAATTAGTAAATGTGAATTATTGAGTTATATGTGTAATTTCATTCGCACATAGTTTGATTTGATTGTTTTTGATGAAGGAAAATATTTTTAAATATCACCACTATCATTATTTATTACAGCTTTGCTGCTGAACATAGGTCTATTTTAAGGAATACTACAATCCTTGAGATTGACTATATTTTAGATGCTTACATTTTGATTAAGTATTAAAATACAGATGCCTGTGTATTTCTTGAAGAACTATATTAGAATTCCCATATTGTTACGGCCCACAGCTGCCCTTGCAAAGGTCGCCTTGGCTAGGACCCATAGTAGCCTCCTCGACGGGCAGCCGAGGGTTCGGGCCCAAATGGCCTTATGGAAAAATGACCTATCATACTACAAAATAGGGAGAAGGCTAGGAAAATAATTGGTACGTACCTGGATCCGAATCTAAGACCGCCCCAAGACTCAGTCAGGCCGTAGGTAGAGTATATGTATGTAAAGTAGTGTTTAGTGGTGTGTATATGTGGGTGACCTGGCCCAGCTGAGGTGACCTGGCAGCGGCCGGTTTCCATGCTGCCCCACAATGTTGCATCACTCCAGCAGGCGTCCACAATGGACAACTTCTTTCTTAATTTCACTGTTTCAGTCTATCACTTTATTGTACATTTAACTAACTTCAACTCGACTAATTCAACGTTCATCGTAGAATCGAACACGTGATACCCGACATAAGTAACGGACAATAGTTCAAAGTTCAACATTCAATGTCCCGGATTAATTTATCACCAAATTACAAATAAGGAACTAACGCGATCTCTTCATGAGTCACACGGTTCAGCGTTACAATCACAACTAAGCTCCTTCGTTCGATATTAAACACCACGCCGCAATAATAATTCAAAATCAACCTAGCTGACACGTAAACTAGCTACCGAGTCAACACACAAAAGGCTCTTAACGCGACGGTATAATTAGACGATGATTTCCAAACAATCAACCGGGAGACGCCCTCGAAAAGGAATGCGCGGTTCGAATTCTAGACCGTATATCTACTCGGCGCGTGCGCGAAATTCCACGTCACACGAGCAAGTAAAATATTGCAAAATGCACTTGAACACGCAATCACTATATAATTTGCACAATTACTTTCAAACGAAATTACTTTAATCAATCCAATACAATACAAGCCTCTTGTCACGAACTTAAAACCTAGACAAACTAAACCGAGGCGGTTTTCACGTAACCACAATTACGTAGCGAAGTAACACGCACAAATTCTAAATATCTAGACCATAAACCAAAACCAGTCGCGCGAAACTTCTGCCCGCGAGCTACTGTCTCTCGGCCGCCAGCGCCAAACGCTGGGAAGCTGCCTTCCGCTGCCCCCTCCCCGCGACACGCGTGACACCTGGTATCATCGGGCGATTCACTAAGTCGAACATGATTGGTTACCGTCTCAAAATGACCATTTTTGGCCTAAACACATATATTAAAAAAAGGGTATATTTTTCTTGTAAGTGTTCAAAGAACGCACAGCAGTATTATGGTGTTATTTCGCAGTGTTGTTCTGCAAGACAACACCAGGAGAAGATAGAGGTGTGCAATATGTAGGGTGTTGGGTTGTTAACGAAACACAGCAGCATTAAGCTGGTATTGTGTGCAAGCGTGGTGCTAGTGCGGTGCGGGTGGGCAGTGGCGGTACGCACTCGGCTGGCTGGGCGCGAGCGGCGCGTGCGGCGCGTGCGGCGCGGGCCGCGACAGGCGGTTGGCCGTGAACATGAGCGAGTTGGCCGCCGGACGCATCTGCACGTCGCCCAGCGCCCCCCCACCGCCCCCGCCGCGCGCCTTGCTCCCGCCCCCACCCGGACGACCGCCCTCCTGCACCTACAAAGTAACAACTTCATTATTAACTCTCAATATGGACTTCCTGCCACCGCCCGCCGCCACTTTCAAATGAGATCAGATATTTCACAGATTTCACTGCAGGAAAATTCATTTGTTAATTTACATTTATATTTATATCAGAAATGAATAAACGAAACTACAGATATATCTAAAAGTACAAACCATTGAAGCATTGTTTTATGTATATTTACACACTCTAGAAGCCGATTAACTTTTAATTTTAAAATTCAATTTTTCAATTATAATGACAATGTATAACAAATAACTTCACCTCAGTCTCCTAGCAACATCTGATAAATAAAAGATTATTAAGCTGAACGCACATTTATCCGCGCCGTACGCGCCGCACGCGCCGTACGCGCCGAGTTTTACTGATGGCCTCGCACATTTGCCCGTACGCATCGTCCGCATCGTACGCAAATCTTTTGTATTACCAACAACTTTTGTAGTTTTTTCTAACTACTGGTGTGAAACGGTACATTGAAATTGATCGCTTGAAATCACTATGGAAAGAAATATAGTAATAGCCTGCTTATTGGCAGAGGAAGGAGAAAAAAATTCGAAGAAAAAGAAGATTCTGAATTCATAATATTAATTTAAAAAGGCAATTGTATGGAGAATATGAAGGGGATATACTTTATATAAAGACTTATTAGATGATGATGAACGATTTTTTTGATATTCGCATTTAACATACATGAAACTTCAAGAATTGCAACATGTACTAAAAACATATCTTTCTATGGAAAACTCAAGATTTAGAAGGCCAATTAAACCAGAGAAAAGACTTGTTGTATGTTTGAGGTAAGTATTTTTATTGATAATTAAGTAATCAGGTATAATTGGGTTTTTGAATTAAATTTAACCATTTTTTTTTTAGTTCAGTATTTAAATAATTTATCACTAAGTATTCATATTGATCATCGATGTAAAAAAAAATCAAATTATGAATAATTAATTACGAATTAATTAAAAGTTATAAAAATACAAAAATTATCACGTAAGTCGAAACCACCAGTTATAGTGGAAAATCCATTAAGTTGGCAACATCAGACAACACAGTATCAGCACGCGCCGCGTTATATGACGTCATCAAAATTCGTCCTTCGATATCGTATACCTACCGCATTTTATAAAATTCGGCGCGTACGGTGCGGATAAATGTGCGTTCAGCTTTAGCACACATTATCTCTTATTTCTTTAGAATTTGCATATTTCACGTATGGCCAGGAAAAATTTATAATTTTACTATCCATTATTAAAATAAGTAATTTTTAATACAAGTTCATACTAGAATCTGTTACACGAAAGATGTAACAAAAAGAACATCAAATTATTTTAGACTTTTGTCAATAATCAAAAAGATAAAACTGGTACACCTTCCATTATGATTTAAAAATTTAAAGGGGATTTAAATGGGTTACCAGAAGTAAACTAAAAAGTATCTAAAGTTATTTTCCGAATTTTTCGACTCCATGTATGAAATTAGCCAGCAGTTACGTTAGAAATATTTTAGTAACTTATCCACTAATCCCAACTCTAAGATAATTTCAAATATACCTTTTTAAAAATATCAAAGACCTTATATTATATATGACAAAAAAATCTAAACCTGAAAGCCTTTCACTATTTTTTCCTCAAACATACTACCATATTAGTCTTTCCTGATATCTAATCTTTAACCAACATCTCAAAGGAGGAACTGTAGTCCAGATATGATATTTATTACGTTAATATCAGAACGGTTTATATTAGGTCTCTAACTACTACCGTATATCTTTACTATCAACTATATGGAGTTCTTGAGAAGCAAATTTAAATTTTTTTATTCAAATTTCAATTTTAATTTAACCGTTTTTAAATAGAATCAATTTACACCGACTACTCAAAAGCCTTTGATAAGGTTAACCACAACATACTTTTAAAGAAATTTTTTGAATACAATGAAATGTTAAGAATTTTTTCATAATATGTTTTGAACAGAGCTCAACGAATTGTGATTAATGGTTTCTCATTTAATATCATTTTAATGATAAATTATTTGCCCAATGTAGTAAATTCTTGTACTTCATTAATATTTGCCGATGATCTAAAATTAGTTTTAAAAATTAGAGATAAATTTGATGGTAACTCTTTACAGCATTTTCATTTATTGATAAAGTTTTAGAATAGAGCATAGATAATAAACTCTTTTTTAATGTCGTTAAATGCTCAGTGCTGTCTTTTAGCCGCTCACGCGCCCCAATTTATCACCAATACGTGATGGACGGGAAGCTGCTTCATAGAGTAACGGAGGTTAGAGATTTAGGTGTACATTTCACTGCAGAATTAAACTTTAGATTACATGTAAGTAATGTTTGTATAAAGGCATACCGTAATATCGGATTGATAATGCGTCTTGTAAATAATTTCACAAATGTCGGGGCTCTGAGAGCGCTATACGATGCACTCGTAAGGAGCCACTTAAGAGTTAGTAGAACGCCGTCATTTGGACTCTTCATGAAGTCAAATACAAATATATGTTAGAGCGGATTCAAAATAAATTTATTAGATTCTTATAAAGCAATTCGGAGTATACCCGGGCTATCCCTTGTAGTATCGTACTCTAGTTTTACTTGGTATGGTAGGGTACTAAAGCTCGAAGTGAGAAGAGAAGTCGCTCTGGCTGCGTACGTGAAGGTGATCAGGGGTAGGATACACTATGCGAGTGTTGGAGATGATGCGACTGCACGTGCCGGCGGCGGCCGTCATGCTGGCGGTGCCGCGCGCACAGTGTGATCACCATGAACACCATGTCGGAGCGAACTTATTTATTTTCATGTTCACTACGTGAGCTCACTAAAATAGCATATCATACTGTATCGTTGGCTACACTGTCGAATTAGGGTACTCACCCTGTAATGATTGTGTATGTTGTATGTGTGTGTAAATAAATAAATAAATAAAAAAATCACGAATTTAAGCTTAGGTGTACCGCAGAGATCTATTATTTGATCTTAGCCTTTTCTATTATTTGTAAATGACATCGGTGATTGTTTCCGTTTCACTAACTTCTTACTTTATGCATATGACCTTAAAATTTAATAAAAAACGACAAGATTTAATAGCTTTTGACAGACTACTGTCAAAAAATAAACTTTACTTAAGCACATCAAACAGCAAACATCATATTCACAAAAAAGTTAACATAATTAAAAACACTTACAAACTAAACTGTGATTCTTTAGATTCGGTATCTTTAATTAAGTATCTAGGAGTGTATGTAGACTCTAAGCAAACACAACGATGACCACGTAATGCACACAACCAATAAAGCTTTCCAGGTCTTTAGATTCGTCATGTGGAAATGTTCTTCATTTAAGTATCCCACTATATTTATAACTTTATATAAAACTCTAAATAAATCACAGGTGGAGGTGTAGTCCAATATATAATAAATATAGTCTACAATTGGAGCGTATTCAACGAAAGTTTTAAAAATCAACAATGTTCCGTAAGATGTGGCGCCGTGGCTAAGGATAAGGAACTTATTTAATTAGAAAGACTAAACTGTTGTTTAAGCCCGGAACTATCAGTATACCACTTTTCATAATGACACAACTAAAATTAAAAGTGAATTCTACCAATATAGATTTTAATTTTAATATAACAAGATATTAAATGTAATAGAAAATGTGAAACAATTAACCACACATATTTATTTCATTTATAGCGTAAGGGATTTTTAAAGGTTCTAATAAACATTTAAAGATGTTTACTGTTTAGCAATTTAACATTTTCCATTAAATAAACAATATTCTCTACAGTCAGTTAGCTATTACAAGAAAGGACTATACTATACTATGCAGTAACACGTCAATATACACCCAAAACAGTGACCATCATAATACACCTTAAAATAGCTAGTTAGCTCTATATTTGCTCTGGTTGAAGGAACACCATCCACTCCTCCTATACAATCTTAAAATAATTTATTTTCAAATTAATTAAGTTATAATAACTTATACAGTAAAATTCGTTTATTATGACTCCGCGTATATTGACCAACCGCTTATTGTGAAGTAATTACACAGTGAAGTTTGGTTTTCATATTATAAAATTCTTTATAACAAAGTCGGATATAATGACCTCGCTTATAGTGACATGTCGCTTATTGTGACCCATTTTTAATAAATTATGTCCGGTTATAGTAACCGTCATGATTCCTAGTGTTCGGGAGAGTCACGTGATACACGACGACGTAAGGTGCGTGCAGGGCTTGTTTTGTTTTGAGTTTCAGTGGGTAATTAATAGTTGAAGGTCACGCATTCTTTGTTAGTGATTTGTGTAAAAAAATGACATATCAACGTCGTAAAGCATTTACAATTGAGGAGAAATGTGCAATAATATGCAGATTAGAAAATGGAGAATCCAACTCATCTCTCGCGAAGGGATTTGGGGTTGGTCATTCGACGATCTCAACGATTTTCAAAAACAAGAACCAGATTAAGGAATCGTTCAATTCAAATGTTTTGAAACCGAAGAGACTTCGAAAATCGCGACAGAAAAATGTTGATCAAGCGTTAATTGGGGTCATTGTAGAAGCGTGCTCGTCGCGTCCCCTGCCAGCCCTTTTCAGGGCTGCAATTCTACACAGCTGCGCACCCATGCCAACGAGGGTTAGGGCGTCCCCCCAAGGCGACGCACACCAGCTCGTCCCCGTTGGTGTGGAATGCAGGGCGCAAAGCGGCGATGGGGACCGCCACCCGTCACGCACAGACCGACACGGCGGAAGGTGGAGGACAGAGTGCAGAGTTGGCACGTGGAATGTTAGAGGAGGCATGAGAGATAAGACGAATGAGTTGATCGTAATAATGAAAGAAAGAGAATTAGATGTCGTGTGTATGTCGGAGACCAAACGGAAGGGCAGTGGTACTGAAGAGCTCCCTGGCGGGGCGTTAGCTCTATGGTCCGGAGTCCCGGAGAGCGAGAGCGCCTGCCAGGGAGTGGGGGTGCTGCTGTCGTCTCGGTTGGTCGATGTTATGACTGAATATAAGGTTGTGAACTCAAGACTTCTCTGGGTTCGCTTTAAATTGGGACTAAGTTATTCCTTTTGGCTGTTTATGCGCCGGTAGCTTCGTCGTCCAGGGCTGAGCTGGAGGAGTTTTGAGAGAATGTAAGAGAAGTTCTAGATTTGGTTAGAGGAAACAAAAGAATTGTTGTATGAGTTGGTACCGCTCGACCAGGGTACGAGTCGGTGCTTGGAAAGTTTGGCGATAAAAGGGTTAATGATGCTGGCAAGCTTATACTGGCTGTATGCAAGGAAAAGAGTCTTCTTGTGACAAACACTATGTTTAATCACAAGAAAATCCATATGTATACTAGAGAAAGAAAGAATGAGAGAAGTATGATCGATTTGTTCCTGGTGGATGACCGACTGCGAAAACAGGTGATGGATACGCGAGTGTTCAGGGGTGCTGACCTGGAAACGGATCACTATCTAGTGATTACTAGATTTAGGGGTCTGTTCGCGGGTTGGCGCTACCGGACGGCAGTAACAGAACCACAGTCGGTCTGTCGCATCCGAAGCTGGAAGCTTCAGGAAGCGGATACTAGGGACAAATATCATGCGAGGGTTGCCGAAAAGCTTGACACCATCGATGGCAGAAAAGAATGTGTGGAAAGAACACGGCAGAACCTTAGGGATGGAATGGTAAGTGCAGCGGAAGAAGTGTGTGGAACGATAAAAAGAGGTAGTAGTAAAAGAAGAGACGCATGATGGAATGATGAAGTGAAAGAAGCTATAAAGAAGAAGAAGAAAGCATGGTTAGACTACTTGGCCTCTAGTAATGATAAGGATATGAGAGAGAAGATGAAAGAAAGATATAAGCTGCAGAAAGTTCACACGAAAGCATTGATTGAGGAAGTGCGTGAAAGGTGTAGAATGGAAGCGGACGAAAGGTTGTCGCACAACTTTAAAGAGAACTCCAAACTCTTCTGGAAAGAGGTTGGAAGGACCCGAAGTGGTGCGACGGCCTTAAAAATGAACAAAGTGCTTTCGAGAACCAATGACGTCCTCTCAGAAAAATCGGACGTCATGCAGCGATGGAGCGATTTTTATAGAGAAATGTATGCGTGTGATGATCTTAGTGAGGGATCCAGGGGTGACGCCGTGACTGGTACGCCAGACCCGGACCTCGATGATACTGAGGTCATCAGTATGAAAGAGATTGAACGTGCGATTCGAAGTTTGAAATGTGGTAAGGCTGCAGGACTAGACAGAGTTACTCTGAAATGGTCAAGTATGGTGGGCCTCGCGTCTGGGACAGCTTTCATCTGCTGTGCAATTTGTGCTGGCGGACGGGGGATGTCCCGGATGATTGGCGATCCGCAGTCATTGTGCCTTTATATAAAGGTAAAGGTTCACATTTTGACTGCGGGTGCTATCGGGCGATCAGCTTGACCAGTTTAGCAAGTAAAGTTTACTCGAAGGTTTTGACACGTAGAATGCAAGAGAAATCGGAAAGATTTCTATGGGAGGCACAATGCGGATTTAGACCTGGAAGAGGAAGCACGGATCAAATGTTTTCTCTCCGCATGATCACGGAGAAGCTTTTGGCTGCTAACCAGAAGATTCTCTCTGCTTTTGTGGATCTTGAGAAAGCATTTGATAAGGTTGTAAGGAAGAAAATGTGGGAACTGTTGCCGGGGTATGGTGTGGATGGTCGATTGCTAAGGGCTGTGCAGTTTCTTTACTGTGACTGTAAAGCCTGTGTGCGGGTAGGGCATGACCTGTCACCCATGTTTAGCGTCCAAACGGGCGTTAAACAGAGTTGTGTCATGTCTTCCTGGCTGTTCATACTGTATCTCGACAGCTGTTTACAGAAGCTGAAAGATAGCTGTTTGGGTGTGAAATTGGGTGACATAAAAGTAAATTGTCTGCTGTATGCTGATGATGCAGTGCTTATTGCACCATCAGAGGCAGAACTGCAGGCATTAGTCACGTGTATGAAAGAGGAATGTGAAATAAAAGGTCTCCGTTTGAATGCTAATACAACTAAGGTTCTGGTATTTGAAAGGGACGAAGAGAGAACGAAGTGTGAAATATGGGTAAATTAGGAATGTCTAGAACAGGTAAATGAAATTGTATACTTGGGGAGTGCTTTTAGCCGGGATGGAAGATGTGATTTAGATGTGGACAGGTGTGTCAAAATTGAACAAAGTCAATGGTGCCCTGACTGCGTTAGTCAAAAGGCAAGGCGTAGTGAAGAGTACGCCTTGCACATAACGCAGTGTTGGTACTGACTTTGTTATATGGCAGCGAAACCTAGGTATGCCAGAAGAAGCATAAAAGCAAGTTGAATGCAGTGGAGATGCAATCTCTTCGTAAAATGTGTGGCGTTACCATGGCCGACCGAAAGTGAAACGAAGAGATTCGCAAGCAATTTCAAACCTGCCATATTGCGACAGGTTTGAAAGATGACCTTATCACAAAAATTGATAAGGGCGTGCTTCGATGGTTTGGGCACGTTGAGCGAATGAGTGAAGACCGAATGGTGAAGAAAATATATAGCGCGAAAGTTAATATTAAAAGGTGTCGAGGTAGACCGAGACTAACTTTCGAAGACCACGAAGAGGGGAGGGTCTCGGTACTCGGATACCTAGACGTGCATGTATGAAGAAGATAATCAATCTGAAAGAAGTGAAAGAGGTATGTAAGGATCGTGACACTTGGCGATCTATTCTCTCTGGCTATCCCGTCAGGGATTGTGCGTGAAGATAAGTAAGTAAGTGTTAATTAGTGGTTTAAAATCATGAGAAACAAAAGATTACCCGTCAGTGGCCATATCTTACAGGAAGCAAATGTTCTTGCCACGCGTGTTGGTATTCTTGGCTTCAATTGTTATAATAAGTCGTTTTAAAGTACGACATAACATTGCGGAACAGCGGGAAAAATCGTCGGTGTATCTGTGTCTGTTGATCAAGATTCAACCACGTCGCCTATGTGGTCAAATCTACGAAGACAATTTTCTAATGATTAGATTTTTAATACAGATGAAACTGGACTATTTTACAAATTAATGCCGGACAGAACTTTAAAACTTAAAGGTGAGAATTGCAAATACATTACATAATATGTACTTATTATGTACAATTTTTATTTTGATTTATCTCTATTTTGTTTCTCTCTATTAAAGTAAATACATACTAACAAAAACAGGAGATTGTTTATTTTTTACAAAATGCTTATTATGATGTCTGCTTAGTATGACGCGTTTGTTATTTCTAAATTTTTTTTGGGTGTGAATACTGTACTGCTTCAGTTGCTTATTTCATGCCTACATCACGTAAAACACGACATCTATCGGATGTCATTAATTAATTCGTAACATATAATGTGTTTACCAGTGAGCAAGTGTCGCGGTGGCGAGCGGTACCGCTTATAGGCCTCCCCCATTTCTCATATGGGAGATATTTGGCATAGGTGATATGCTTGGTAAGCGGTAAGTAGTTCTTTATAACAAAAGAGTATAAAAGGCAGACATAGTGTCTTGGGGCATTCTCCTGTCAAGTGAATACCTTGGCGTTGTTGTTCTGGTGCTGCGTGGAGTGGTGCTTGTAGTGCTGGCCCTGGTTGTGGTGCTGGTTCTGGTTGTGGTGCTGGTGCTGATGCGAGCGCGGGAAGTAGCCGGCGGGCGCGCGCTGTCTGAACGCATCTCGCGTGGATCCGAAGCCGTTGCCGAATAGCTTGTCGGGGCCGAGCGGCGCCGGCTGCAGACTGAGACCGGCTAGCACGTCGTCCAGCGGCCTCGAGCGGAGACCGCCGCGGAACAGCTCGCGGTCGCGGTCGCGGTCGAGGCCGCGGTCCCGGTCGCGACGCGGCGGCTCGTCGTCGGCGCGCAGCTGGTGGATGGGCACCGGGCCCTCGGCCGACGTGGCGGCGCGCGGCAGCCAGCCGCCCCGGCGCAGCTCGGCCACGTCGCGCAGCATGAAGCGGATCCGCGGCGCCAGCTCTCGCGCACCCGCCAGCGTCTAATATTTTTGTACAGAAAGGGGCGACACATGAGCACACAGTCCACATAGTACACACAGTAAGTGAACACTGAGGCCCATAGATATCTACGTTTATCCTCGAATAAGATTCAAAATGTAGATGCGTTATCACCCCTGAGGACTAATACAGATAAATTCGTCATTGATAAAATACCAAAAATAATTAATTTTCATAATAATTGCTATGCGATATGCATAAATATATAAAATTACAACCAAAGAAAAAACCAAAGAAGCATTTTGGAAACGAGTTGTAACAATAATTATCTTTAAACTTTGACAATTTTTTGAAGTTATACTTCTTTTGGGGCGTTTGGGAAAAACGATGCGAGTGAATTTTTTACGATGCGCGCGCACACTGACACCTAAAAGCGACAACTCTAGTCAATAATTGTAATTGTGTAAAAGTTTTTTGTTTTGTTACGCTAAAGAAGTATATTTTTTTAATAGAATAAGGGTGATAAACGAGCACACGGTCCACCTGATGGTAAGTGGTTCTGTAGCCCATAGATATCTACATCATATTCGTTTACGAATTAAAATGCAAATGCGTTGTCATTCTATCTTAGTCCTCACGACTAAGATAGAATGCCTCTTTTCCAGTAAAATAAGTCTCCAGTTTTTTACACTCACCGTACGAAACACAGCAGCATTAAGCTGCTATTTTACGCTGGTATACTGTTAGAACGTGGTCCTTCCTCGTTCGAGCCAACCCATTCGTGCTACAGCTGTACTATTAATATAGTTGCAGCATGGCTCTATCACGTAAAAAAACTACGTGCGTACAACACACACACTTTTTTTTATTAATAATATTTCGACAATTATATTCTAATTATAATGTGACATAAAATTATTAAATATTACTGCTTAGTGTAAACATTATTAAATATTTTGCTTCTTAGTTTTCATTCACTTTCTTGTTTTTTGGTTAACTACTATGCAATGTCGGTAATTTTTTTTGAAGTATTGTTTTATAATGTAACTACTTAGTAACATTTAATATTTTTAATATTCAATAATTTTGGTTATTGTACTATATTTTCTATAATAGCTGTAAAACACAAATTATACAAAAACATACCTCGATGCGCGCGAAGTACTGGTCCATGAGGCCGCGGCCCCGCTGCGAGTCCAGCACTCGGCCGCATGTTCGCACCAGCTGTGCGAGACACTCCAGGTCCTCGTGGTGCTCGGCGGCCGCTCGTCGCGCCAGCAGCTGCTGGATGCAGCGGTGCAGGATCGACTCCGCCAGGATTTCCAGCTTTCCCAGCTCACCGATGAACTTAATGTTGCCCAGCATCTTGCACTTGGCTAGGTGCCGCTTCTCCTCCTCCTCCGCTGTAAGGACTTTGTCCTCGTAGGCCGCGAACGCCTGCGAACATTTGTTACATTGATTAAACGTCATGAATAAGCTTTTATTTAATTTAAATAATAAAACTGACACAGACTACGAGCAAATCGAAATAATATTTTGATGATTTCTTATAACTGTACAGCCTGAATTAACATATTCCTTACCAGTCCAGGAGGAATGGCGTATGAGTACTGAAAACTATTCCACCTCAATTTTTTTATGCGATTCTTGTCCTACTGATGATATAAATGCATGTTGCCATACAGCAACTCGGTGCCATATTTTTAAACCAATTTTTTTTTATTTCAAGGAATTGTCGTTGTGTTTTTTCATATCTTTGATGAAATACGAATAAAAAAGGTTCTATGGCCTTTTACGATAGAGTTAATATTTTTGGAGTACGATTTTTTAAAGGTTTGAAAATATCCAAAATTCGGATACTTTGACCCATTTTAAATACATAAAGAAAAAGAATAAAATATAAAAAATATTTTTTTATATTCTTTGATGAAATACTTTTTACGATAGAGTAAATATTTTCGGTATTATTAATTTTTAAATGTTTGAAAAATCCCGAATTCGGATACTTTTGACGAGTGTTAAAAATGTGTAAAAAAAATTTCAAATACAGCACTGAAGCATTTTTGTGTATATACATACACTAGAAACCGAAAAACTTATTAATAAATTGCAAATTTGCGTAATAAGTAAGTTCACCGTAGTCCCAACTAGCGACACCTGGTGAGCGTAAGATTTAGTCTTCATTGAATCGACCGAGGTAGGACCACATATTGAGAGAGTGAAGAGAACCAAAGACAATATATACTAGTAAAGACGTGTTCTGTTTAAAGTCATCTAAGAACATCGGTCAAATATGACCTGACCATAATATGAAACGAACACCAATGATTGATACGTCAAAAATAGTGACTTAGGTGTATATTAAATAACGGGGTCTAGCTTATTTTATTGGAGCCGGTAAAATAATTTAGCTTTGTAATAAAAACCTCATCTCCTTACTACTTTTTATAGGTTTTGAACGCATGTAAATTCGTCCCGTTTTTATCTGTGGTACATGTTTGATCATAACACTAAAGTAACACTACTATTGTGCCTTTACTTTTTTAAATACTAGATTTTATTGTAGATTTTTTATTTATTTTTGTAGTGTATTATCATTAACATCATTTTTAGATGTCTTTTTGTCTTTTAAGCTATCTTCAACATCCTAAGAACTTTGCATGTTACGTAATTAACATAAATTGTAAATAATTTGAGATACCTGAGATACCTTAGCCAGTAGTAACAAAAAACACAAAATGTCAAAGTTGTCTTAGATACATATAACAGCAAAAAGATTACAAGGTCTATTGATTCATTTTAGTGGTTTTAGCCAGTATATATTACTGCATAGTTTTCATATTAATGGTTTTAGCCGAGGTTGTAGTCATAGCTGCAGACATATAACATCATAACCTCAAAAGTGACGAAATACATAAGGGTAATGTTCTATAATCCTCGACTTTTAAGTAATATATTTTCAATTTAGGATTGAGATTGTGCCTAGGGGAACGGATTAATCCATATACTAGTCATGTTCGCGATATTTTATAGCCAGGTCACAGCATGTATGGGCCGTGACAGATGTATTTTACAGAACGTTTGAATTTTAATTCTTAATTGGGGGTATTGATATACAGTGTAAGAGTATCTTTAACTGACGAGCGTGTATGCGTAGGTATATGGATGTGGAGCAAGCGAGAGAGGTGTGTCAGGATCGTACCAAATGGAAGTCCATAGTCTCTGCCTACACCTCTGGGTGAAAGGCGTGAGTGTTTATGTCTATAAGTCAAATCAGGTGGACTGTGTACTCGTTTTTACCTTTACTTTGGTAAAAAAAATAGTTTAAGTGCTTCACGTGATTCCGAGTACCCGTGGTCACACTCTCAGTAGACTGAGATGTTCACAATTCTGTGAGACTTATATTACATTTCTTTTAAAGTAATTTTTTTTGTATAGAAAATTTTAGCTTAACCTATTATTTATATTTTACTATCACCTATTTACTTTACAGTTTACATTATTCTGAATTCATGCAATGGTATGCCTGAGTATAATTTTTATTAATAAAAAGCAAGCAGATGGTAGAATCTTTACTATTGAAATTAAGATATATCCGGAGACAGTGTAGTGTCTCACGCCAAGTACACCTTCAACATATGTATATGTATGTAAACGTGTAGGTGTGAGACTACAGTGTATATATTCTCGAATCAGATGTCAACATAACCTCACCAAATTTTTAACTTCATATATTTAATTATTAACGAAACGTCAACACTTTATACAGTCATTTATTATTTTGTTTATCAATTGTTTCCATATAACACTAAAAATTATTTCTATCTATCAATTATTTCATACTTTTCAATATCTCAAATTTTTGCTTGCTCAGTTTTGCGATTCCACAAAAGATTTCATTAATTTCGGTGGAATTTTTTATCTTTCTCAAGATTTTTGGCTTGGATGCTTGTCTTTTAAGCCATGTTTTCATTTATCGCAACTTGATCCAGCAGATAGTTGGCAATATTATCTCAAGGCGTCTAAGCAGATAGACACCTTATGTTGAGAATATTGGTATGGTGGTAGGGATGCAATATCGCTCATAAAAACAGCGATATTAGAACCTCGATATTTTCGAAAGTGAAACATCGATTTAAAAAAAAGGGTTATTATAGTATAAATGAATACATGGTTGATAATAACCCCTGGGAATAAGGTGGTCGCTTCCAAGCAGTTTCTAAAATAAATTTTGTAAATAGTTTGTAATCATTTTCTATTGTAACATTTATTTTAAAAACAGTCCCGCTGGGTTTCTTCCTGGTTCTTCACAGGACAGAGGTTTTTTTTCGAACCAGTGGTAAAGTAAAAAATGACTTTCAATAAGAATTACTCATGTAATGTATATTGAATAAAAAATTATTCTATTGTTACGAGCTTGGGGTTCGAGACAATTAAAAACTGCCGATTGAATTACCAAAATTGACACTTTAATTACACAGCACTAATTACAATCTAAAATCACACTAATAATAAAACACAGTTCGCCGTTATTTCGCTTCGAAGTAATCTCTTGTATCGCCAATTCAATATTGCCCCGGTCGTGGTCTATACCGGCCTTATATAGGGCCTCAGATAGTTTCCAGAACCTTCTACTGTAGCGACATCTAGAATGTTCGAGTACATATCGGTCCCGAAATTTCTGGAAGGATCTCGACTCTCCTAGTTCTGCTACTCGACACTAGAGGGCGCTAGTGTGACTAGTGTTGCCATGTACAAGACATTAATAGTGGCGCGCAATACTTTCATTTACTCGACACTAGGGGGCGCTAGTGTAACTAGTGTTGCCATGTACAAGACATTAATAGTGGCGCGTAACACTGCCCCCTCCTAAGACATGCTCGTCCCGAGCATTATTGGCCCCATAATAACGCGCCAGTCGATCCACATGGACAATCTTAGGAGTACCTCTGGCACCTTTCTGTATCCGGTAGGTTACATCATTGATCCTTGTCACAATCCGGTACGGTCCGTCCCATTTAGCTTGAAGCTTAGGAGATTTCCCTTTGCTGCGAACTGGATTGTGTAACCACACTAGTGAACCTTCATCAAAGCCCTTGTTGTTCATTTTGCGGTCATACCGTGTTTTCATCTTCTCAGACGTTTGCTGGCCCGTCTGTCTGACGTGCTCATAAATGTCATTCATTTTGTTCCGCAAGTCATTTGCATAATCGGTTATACTGCGTGGGGCATCAGGTGGTATTCCGGTGATCAGGTCTGCAGGCAGCCGCAATTCTCTCCCAAAGTTTGCGAAAGCTGGTGTCACTGATGTACTTTCGTGAACAGCGCTTCGATATGACAACAAAAACGGTTGTATGTGCCTGTCCCAGTCTCGTTGCCGTTTTTCCACAACTTTTGCTAGGTACCTCTCCAATGTCTGATTAAATCTTTCTACCATTCCATCAGATTGTGGGTGGTAAGAAGTTGTTCGTGTTTTCTGAGTACCCATAACTCGGCAAGTTTCCTGGAATATTTGAGACTCAAAATTCCTTCCTTGATCGCTGTGAATCTCTAAAGGTACTCCAAAACGACAGAAGACTTCATGAACTAGTTTATCTGCAACTGTTGAAGCTTCTTGATTTGGAATGGCGAAGACTTCTGGCCACTTAGTGAAGTAATCCATCACTACCATGAAATACTTGTTACCACTTTCAGTTTCTGGAAACGGCCCCGCAACGTCAATGGCTATCCTCTCCCATGGTGCACCAACATTGTACAATTTCAATGCGCCTCTACTACGAATTTGAGGTCCCTTTACAGCCGCACAACTTGTACATTTGCGGCACCAGTCCTCGACATCGTCACGACAGTGGACCCAGTAAAACCGTTCTCGGATCTTCAGGAGAGTTCGTTTAACTCCCAGGTGGCCTCCTGAACAACCACTATGGTACAGCTGTAGAATATCCGGCACTTTAGCCTTAGGGACAACCATTTGCAAATGGCACCTGTCTCCTCGACCATTTTCCCATTTACGGCACAGGACTCCATCCTGAATCAGCAAGCTGTCCCATTGGGCCCAATAGCTTTTCGTGGTCGAACTCATTGCTGAGACGTCGCTCCACTTGGGCTTAGGAGCACTGGCCTTCATCCATTCCAGAATCGGCTTAATGTCCGAATCTTCCTGCTGTGCATGTTGTAGGCTGTCCTTCCACTCATTGCTGAGCTGGTCTGTCCTGAGCATTCTCACAGATACCACTTCCTTACCCTCTTGCCTAGTACAATGCTTGCAATCTTCAGGGCAAGGTCTTCTTGACAATGCATCTGCATTGCCGTGAGATTTCCCGCTGCGATGTTCGATCACAAAGTCGTATTCCTGCAGTAGTTCTATCCATCTCGCAACTTGTCCTTCCGGATTTTTGAACTGCAATAGCCATTTCAGTGCAGCATGGTCAGTTCGTAAGTGGAATTTCCGCCCTAGAAGATATTTGCTAAAATGCTGCAAGGACTTTACCACAGCAAGCAATTCCCGTCTTGTGACACAATAGTTCCTTTCCGGCTTTGACAACGACTTGCTGAAGTACGCTATCACAATCTCTTGATCACCATTCCGTTGAGACAACACACCGCCAAGTCCTATATCACTTGCGTCTGTGTCAACTATGAATTCCTTGCCCGCATCAGGGTACCCCAAAATAGGTGTTTTGCACAGGCGGTTCTTGAGCTCCTGGAATGCAATATCGCAACTTTCATCCCAGCAGAATTGTCGCTTCTCCTCGGTTAGCTTGTGCAGAGGTTTGGCTATATCTGCAAAGTTCTTCACAAATCGCCGATAATAAGAGCACAAACCCAAAAATGCTCTAACCTGTGTCTTGTCTTTTGGGACCGGCCACTCCTTGACAGCAGCAATTTTCTCTGGATCCGTGCGGATACCTTCTTCCGACACTACATACCCCAAAAAACTAACTTGCCGTTTGAATAGTGAGCACTTTTTTGGACTCAACTTGAGGTTGGCACTCTGGATCTTCATGAGCACGCGTTCCAGGTTTTGAAGGTGTTCCTCAAACGTACGGCCTACGATGATGATGTCATCCAAATAGACCAGACAAGCATCTCCAATTAGCCCGGTAAGTACAAGCTCCATCAACCTTTCAAACGTTGCTGGAGCATTGCACAATCCAAACGGCATGACTTTGAATTGCCACAGACCCTTTCCTGTGGAGAATGCAGTTTTCTCCTTGTCCTTAGGGTCAATTTCAACCTGCCAGTAGCCACTTTTCAGATCTAGCGTACTGAACCACTTTACGCCTGTAAGCATATCCAGCGTGTCATCAATTCTTGGCAAGGGATAGCTGTCCTTCTTTGTAATGTCGTTCAGGCGGCGATAGTCAACACAAAACCGCATGCTGCCGTCCTTCTTCTTTACCAGCACCACAGGTGAACACCATGGACTAGATGAAGGTTCAATAACACCATCCTTCACCATTCCCTCAATCATGGTTTCCACTTCCTTTTCACGTGCTACAGGCAATCTTCTTGGCCGCTGACGAATAGGCAATTCTTGTCCTGTGTTTATTTTGTGTTGAACTAAGCCAGTCTTTCCTATGTCAGCTTCGTTTGACGAGAAAACATTGGCGTACTTGAGTAACAACTTCTTCGCCTTGACCATTTCATTCGGGGAAAGAACGCTGCGACAGTCTTCCAAAAGTGTGGTCACTATCGTTTGTCCATCCTTGCTGGGGGTCCCGGTCGATAGATATTCGCATCGACGCAACCAATCCACTTCCTCACTAGTACCAACCAATGTGCCTTTTTCTATAATCTGTTCCTGATCACAAAGGTTCAACACACGTACTCCTGAGATGTCGGTGGTTCTGACCAAGGTTCGAGCCACTTTCCATGGAAGGTCATTGTCTACCCTTTCCACGAGTACACAACGATGGGCTTGCCCAGGACTCCGAGGAAGACTAACCGGCACAATCGTTTCCGATCTCGGCGGAAGAACAATCTTCTTAAGGCTGTACACATTCCCTGGTAACGCCCCTTCCACGAAAAGTTCTTCTTGTCCACATTTCAAAACACCTTGCTTAACGTCGATCTCACAACAATTCTTCCTCATAAAGTCTAGGCCCAGGATGCAGTCGTCCATTATATCAGCCACGATGACATTATGCAGGTAGATCATGTTGCCTAGCTTCAACTCCATCTCCTTCTCTCCACGGACGAGTATGCGCTGACCAGTGGCTGTCACCAAATTAATGCGTTCTCGGTTGTATGCGGAGTCACCAAGGAACCGACTTATAAGTTGGGAACTGACAACCGTGCGAGAGGCTCCAGTGTCTATCGTCAGTTTACATGGCGTTCCGTTGACTTCGCCCTTGATGATTAGGCTGTTCCCATCATGGGTTTGTGAGATCGAAATCCTTGGGGCTCTTTTAACATCAGCCAGCACCCGCCAGTTTCCCTGCTGTTGCTGGGCGGTGCTGTCAGCCACACTACCCTCTCGATATCGATCACCTTCCCTTTCTACAGTTCGTTTAGGGCAGCTGGATCGAAGATGGCCCCTTTCTCCACAGCCGTAGCACCTAGGGCTGTAGCTTTTATTGCGGTCCTGCACTTTAGCTGCTGCAACCTCCCTGACGCGGTGGGAACGATGATCCTGCCGCACGGCTTCCACCTCCAGTGCATGGGTCAAGGCGTCCTTAAGCGTCTCGTGGTGCCCGAGCCTCACAGCAGCTCTGACTTCAAGGTCGCGGATGCCGTCGATGAATGTCTGCACCAGGTTCCCTACAATAAGCGCAGGTACAGACTGGTACGCTTTTCGAACCAGCTTCTCCACCTCAAGGGCCCACTGCTGCAGGTTTTCGTTACTGCGTTGCACGCGATCTTTGAGCTGCGCACGAAAGACGTGTTCCAGGTGAGCGTCGCCATATCTCGCCTCCAATGCCTCAAGGAGCTGCTCGTAAGTCACTTCCTTACCGAGAGCTTCCAGAACAGTTAATGCCTGGTCGCGCAGGCCTAGGGTGAGAGCAGTCATGGCCTGACTTTTATTCCAGCCGTTCGCTTTCATGACAGCCTCGAACTGGATTTTATAGGCCGACCAGGAAGAAGTCCCGTCGAACGGTGGCACTTTAAATCCACGTAGCGAAGGTGTTGTAGCTACCACGGGAGCTGTAACTCCATCCCCAAGTTTGAGGTCGTCCAGCGTTTTCTTCACATCAGCCATCACGTTGTCAACCCGATTGTTCACTTGGTCGATTCGGGTTTCAGCTTCCGACAGGCGGTTGTCATGTTGAGCAACCCTATCCTTCACCTCCTTTATCTCTTTCCCGAAGGTAGCGTGAAGGTCCTTCCTGAGGAGCATCTGTTCTTCCATACCGCGCTGCAGCTGCTCTTCCAGCCGACGGGTCTGTTCCTCCTGTCGGCGGGCCTGTTCCTCCTGTCGGCGAGCCTGATCCTGCAGCATCATCATCAGAGCACCCAAGTCAGGTGCTGCAGATGCAGGAGCTGCTGACGGGCCAGCCTCCGTGGTTAGCAACTGGCCCTCCGACGTTTGCGGCGTTCCATTACCAAATCGTCTCTGGTCCGTCTCCTGTTGGCGTTGACTTCGGGTACGGATACCCTCCGTGTCGTCTTTAGGTAAAATCGGCATATTTGATCCCACTTCTGACACCAATTGTTACGAGCTTGGGGTTCGAGACAATTAAAAACTGCCGATTGAATTACCAAAATTGACACTTTAATTACACAGCACTAATTACAATCTAAAATCACACTAATAATAAAACACAGTTCGCCGTTATTTCGCTTCGAAGTAATCTCTTGTATCGCCAATTCAATATTGCCCCGGTCGTGGTCTATACCGGCCTTATATAGGGCCTCAGATAGTTTCCAGAACCTTCTACTGTAGCGACATCTAGAATGTTCGAGTACATATCGGTCCCGAAATTTCTGGAAGGATCTCGACTCTCCTAGTTCTGCTACTCGACACTAGAGGGCGCTAGTGTGACTAGTGTTGCCATGTACAAGACATTAATAGTGGCGCGCAATACTTTCATTTACTCGACACTAGGGGGCGCTAGTGTAACTAGTGTTGCCATGTACAAGACATTAATAGTGGCGCGTAACACTATTCTATTCTATAACTCTATTCTAAAAATATCAAAGTATATGAATAGAATGTTACTACATTCTATTGACGATGGAGCTATTACTCAAATGGGATCACTCTTTCTCAAAACTAATTCTAAATTAACTAATAGTAATAAAGGTGGAGCAATTTTGGATTTTTCTGGAGCATTTAAGGAGCAATTAATAGGCATTTAGTTTAATTTTAAAAAGTAGATATTTTATGTTTTATAGCAAAATTAAATTTTCGATAGTTAATTTTTTTAAATTTATTATAAATTAACTAATAGCAATAGAGGTGGAGCAATTTCGGATTCTGCTGTAACATTTAAGGAGCAATTAGTTGCATACAGTTTAATTTTAAAAAGTAGATATTTTATGTTTAATAGCAAAATTAAATTTGCGATAATTAAATATTTTTAATTAATTCTAAATTAACTAATAGCAATAGAGGTGGAACAATATTTGATTTTGCTGGAGCATTTAAGGAGCAATTAAATGGCATACAGTTTTATTTTAAAAAGTAGATATTTTATGTTTTATAGCAAAATTAAATTTTCGATACTTAATTTTCTTTTAATTAATAATTTTTTTTTTAAATAAATTAACTAATTGCAACAGAGGTAGAGCAATTTCGGATTCTGCTGGAACAATTAGGGAGCAATTAATTGACATAAAGTTAAATTTTAAAAAGTAGATACTTTATGTTTTATAGCAAAATTAAATTTTCGAGTGGTAATAAAACCAAAGAGTAACTTTTAATAAGTATCATTTATAATCTATATTGAATAAAAAAGTTTCTGTTTCTGTTTCTACCGAATGTACACACAATACTTTTCTACTTGGATACTCTGGTACAGTTGTAAAAAAATATTTAATTGTTAGTAGAGTTTTATTCAGAGTTACATTGAAATTCAAAGTTAAAGTTTTATACCTAAGTTGACTGTATAATGAATGGAGACTTTATTATATAAAAAACATCACTATTGTTATGAAATAAGTAACTATTTAATATATTTCTTAAAAAAATAAACAAAACCCGGTCTCTATACGTTAAATTTTTCGAGAGTTATCGTGACCACGTAAAAAAAATCTGGACGTCAACGAACATTTTTTTCAATTTTCTTAAAATAGCATAATAAAATTGATTTGTACAAAATATGTGATACATTAATTAAATTTTCTTGAAATAAATCTACTCATATTATCTTATGAGTACAAATCAGTTGTTGTAGAGGTAGTTAAAGAGCAAAAAAATTTTTTGACCTTGACGTGTTGAGAGTAAAGCACAAACTCAACCGCATCGCGGTATGAGGTGTGCGATATTTAAAAAAAAAGAAATTGTGTGCTTTACAAAAAGATATGAAATCCGAACAAAAACAGTTTCACTGTAAAACATCGCGCCAAGTACACGTTCAACTATAGTTACAAAAATAATAATTACATTTTTACAAAAAATTATAAAATAAAAAAAACCAAGTACACAACCGTTTTAGATACGAAAAAAAATTTTGCTGAAAAAAGTAATAATAAAAACATTATGTACTTGGTGTGCATTATACTTTATAGTATAAGCATAACTCAAAAAAGTTATATAAAAACGACTTCCAATGTCAAGTTGGGTGATCGATACTCTTAATCATGCACACCAAGTACACCATTTTTTTATTATTACTTTTTCAGCAAATTTTTTTTCGAATCTAAAACGGTTGTGTAATTGTTTTTTTTATTTTATAATTTTTTGTAAAAATGTAATTATTATTTTTGTAACTATAGTTGAAAGTGTACTTGGTGCGATGCTTTACAGTGAAACTGTTTTTGTTCAGATTTTTTATTTCACACATCACCTTAGTAGAAATCGGAGTTCTTTTGCGAAATTTTGTAATCTCCAACATGGTTTCCCTAACTGTGCCCACAAAAGCAAGCTCATCCTTTTCATTGATTGCACTACAATCACTGTTATATTATTTTCTAATAAATAATAATAATTAAGACTATAGTCTGCAGTTTTCTTAAATTCAATAAATATAATCAATCAATAAAGCAATCTTAATGTCTGCACTCTTTTATAAGGGTCAAAAAAAACTACAACCTGTACAGGGAGTCACAGTATAAAAAAGATTGGGAACCTCTGGTCTACAATGAAAAAAAAAAATAATAATAATAATATTCCACAACTATCACACAACGCCATCTAGTCCCAAGCTAAGCAGAGCTTGTGTTATGGGTACTAGACAACTGATAAACATACTTATATATTTCTAAATACGTAAATATTATAGATAAATTACACCCAGACACAGAACAAATGATCGTGCTCATCACACAAACATTTGTCCTGGGTGGGAATCGAACCCACGACCTCCGGCATAGCAGTCAGGGTCACTAACCACTAGACCAACAGGCCTTAATTTAAAAAAAAATAGCAACAATTATAGGATATTCACACATCAACATTCAAAAGTTCAGGTAAGGACAGCTCAGGTGATTGTCATGATCATGAACCAACATGAAGTATAAGGTATTACAGTTTTAAGTTTTTACTGACGAGAGTAATTGAATGTGCGGAGAGTATTGAGAAGTGCGAAGAATTATGATGAAGATCTGAGATGTTACCTGAGCGCGGTTCTCGAACTCAGTGCGGCATTTGTTTAGCAGCAGCAGCTTGAACGTGCAAGGCTGCCCAGGTGGCTCGAAGTTGGGCGCTTCCTCACTGAGCCGCTTGCAGAGCTGCGCGTACATGGACGAGTACTTGGGCTCGTCCAGCGCCTTCTCGAAGATCAGCAGGATCACACCCTTCAGCACCTTGTCTGAATCCAGTTCCAGTCCCAGCAAGTCATCGCTTAGCTTTTGGAATTTCTCTGGAGTAAGTTTGTTAAGTATGCCGCGCACCTGCAACATTATTCCATTAGATTAGTATCAATTGATTAAATTGTTGAATAATTATGCACATAATATAATGTTAATAAATTACCATCATGTGAACTGTGTCAACACAGTACACATGATGGTAATTGGATGCTGAGGCTCATAGACATCTACATCTATCTTCAATTAAGAATCAAAATGCAGATGCGTTGTCACCCCAGGGGACTAAGATGGAATGCATCGTTTTAGATTTTTGATATTTTAGAGATACTAAAACAGAAAAACATGCTTCTGGACCATATGAGTTAGGGATTTTCAAGGAAAGAATCCGCCACAGCATCCGCTTACCATCAGGTGGACTGTATACTTGTTTGTCACCTTTATTCTTTAAATTGGTCATGAATTTTAGTGAGTGTGTGTGTGAGTAAAATAGTGGACGGTGCGGTGAGCAGTGGGCACTGACCTTGCGATGGATGATGTCGTGCTTGGCGTCGCCGTCGGGCACCTCGTGGTGCCGCAGCGAGGAGGGCGGGACCCAGCGCCGCCTCGGGGGACAGGCGGGGTAGTGGGTAGTGGGCACTGACCTTGCGATGGATGATGTCGTGCTTGGCGTCGCCGTCGGGCACCTCGTGGTGCCGCAGCGAGGAGGGCGGGACCCAGCCCCGCCTCGGGGGACAGGCGGGGTAGTGGGTAGTGGGCACTGACCTTGCGATGGATGATGTCGTGCTTGGCGTCGCCGTCGGGCACCTCGTGGTGCCGCAGCGAGGAGGGCGGGACCCAGCGCCGCCTCGGGGGACAGGCGGGGTAGTGGGTAGTGGGCACTGACCTTGCGATGGATGATGTCGTGCTTGGCGTCGCCGTCGGGCACCTCGTGGTGCCGCAGCGAGGAGGGCGGGACCCAGCGCCGCCTCGGGGGACAGGCGGGGTAGTGGATAGTGGGCACTGACCTTGCGATGGATGATGTCGTGCTTGGCGTCGCCGTCGGGCACCTCGTGGTGCCGCAGCGAGGAGGGCGGGACCCAGCGCCGCCTAGGGGGACAGGCGGGGTAGTGGATAGTGGGCACTGACCTTGCGATGGATGATGTCGTGCTTGGCGTCACCGTCGGGCACCTCGTGGTGCCGCAGCGAGGAGGGCGGGACCCAGCGCCGCCTCGGGGGACAGGCGGGGTAGTGGGTAGTGGGTACTGACCTTGCGATGGATGATGTCGTGCTTGGCGTCGCCGTCGGGCACCTCGTGGTGCCGCAGCGAGGAGGGCGGGACCCAGCGCCGCCTCGGGGGACAGGCGGGGTAGTGGGTAGTGGGTACTGACCTTGCGATGGATGATGTCGTGCTTGGCGTCGCCGTCGGGCACCTCGTGGTGCCGCAGCGAGGAGGGCGGGACCCAGCGCCGCCTCGGGGGACAGGCGGGGTAGGGGTAGTGGGTACTGACCTTGCGATGGATGATGTCGTGCTTGGCGTCGCCGTCGGGCACCTCGTGGTGCCGCAACGAGGAGGGCGGGACCCAGCGCCGCCTCGGGGGACAGGCGGGGTAGTGGGTAGTGGGCACTGACCTTGCGATGGATGATGTCGTGCTTGGCGTCGCCGTCGGGCACCTCGTGGTGCCGCAGCGAGGAGGGCGGGACCCAGCGCCGCCTCGGGGGACAGGCGGGGTAGTGGGTAGTGGGTACTGACCTTGCGATGGATGATGTCGTGCTTGGCGTCGCCGTCGGGCACCTCGTGGTGCCGCAGCGAGGAGGGCGGGACCCAGCGCCGCCTCGGGGGACAGGCGGGGTAGTGGGTAGTGGGTACTGACCTTGCGATGGATGATGTCGTGCTTGGCGTCGCCGTCGGGCACCTCGTGGTGCCGCAGCGAGGAGGACGGGACCCAGCGCCGCCTCGGGGGACAGGCGGGGTAGTGGGTAGTGGGTACTGACCTTGCGATGGATGATGTCGTGCTTGGCGTCGCCGTCGGGCACCTCGTGGTGTCGCAGCGAGGAGGGCGGCACCCAGCGCCGCCTCGGGGGACAGGCGGGGTAGTGGGTAGTGGGTACTGACCTTGCGATGGATGATGTCGTGCTTGGCGTCGCCGTCGGGCACCTCGTGGTGCCGCAGCGAGGAGGGCGGCACCCAGTGCCGCCTCGGGGGACAGGCGGGGTAGTGGGTAGTGGGTACTGACCTTGCGATGGATGATGTCGTGCTTGGCGTCGCCGTCGAGCACCTCGTGGTGCCGCAGCGAGGAGGGCGGGACCCAGCGCCGCCTCGGGGGACAGGCGGGGTAGTGGGTAGTGGGCACTGACCTTGCGATGGATGATGTCGTGCTTGGCGTCGCCGTCGGGCACCTCGTGGTGCCGCAGCGAGGAGGGCGGGACCCAGCGCCGCCTCGGGGGACAGGCGGGGTAGTGGGTAGTGGGTACTGACCTTGCGATGGATGATGTCGTGCTTGGCGTCGCCGTCGGGCACCTCGTGGTGCCGCAGCGAGGAGGGCGGGACCCAGCGCCGCCTCGGGGGACAGGCGGGGTAGTGGGTAGTGGGCACTGACCTTGCGATGGATGATGTCGTGCTTGGCGTCGCCGTCGGGCACCTCGTGGTGCCGCAGCGAGGAGGGCGGGACCCAGCGCCGCCTCGGGGGGACGGGCGTCCGCCCCGCGGCGCGCAGCACGGGCCCCGGTTGCCGCGCGCTCTCCGTCTTGCGGCCGGTGTGCACTTCCTGTGCCGACCGCCGTACACCGGTTACACCCCACTCACGCACGTCACTCACGCCGCGATCGCCTCCGCTTCAGCCCTGCAACAAGTCATTATGATTTAAAGCTCACTGCATTCCTAGTAGGAAGATATTGATTTATTGAAGAGAAACTTATATAACTTCTTAACGTTATAACTTAATAATAACTTAATACATTTCTCCACTACGTAGTTGAGAAATTTATTACGTTTCACCGCCAGGGCTACATGATTAATGAAATAAAAGAAGAATAATATGTAGCAAAGAAGTTTCGATACGTACCTGTGTACATACAATTTTTTTTAATAGTTTCAGTTAGGGATAGTGCAGTAGTACTAGCGGTGCAAGAATATCCGTTACCCCATATTGTTCTGTGGGTATCGTAAGAGGCGATAGAGGGAAAGTGAAGCAGAGATCAGACAGCATCTTCCTAACAGCTTAAAAACTAAAAACCGCCCACCCACCTATGAGGCAATCTATGGGTGAGACCTGCGAGGAGACGTCAAAAAGTTCGCGGAATGACAGGGAAGGACAATGAAATGAAACATCGAACTATTTTTCCTTTACAATGTATCCCCCTCCCTTAACCCTAATACATTTATTAGATATGTTAAATAACTTATTAATACCGTCTAAAAAAAAGATTTGTCTTGGGCATCAAAATAGGCCGAAATTGCCTACTTCATTTCATCATCGTCGCCAAACGTTTGGTTTATAAAAAATCTTGACGGTTTTTTTTTTTGGGTTATTTTCATTTAAAATGTCAATAAATAGTACTCAAAGTGCATCTAAAAAAAAAGAAATGTAAAGGTCACCGCTGCAACAGCGTGCGTGCAAAATTTGTCGAATCGATGATGAGTTATGTGGTGTCAATGCTTATATTCTACACAATCAGCATTCGACCCAAAAAAGTAATTTCCTTAAAAAAAAAATCCACGATCTCTAGTCGTTCCACATATGCAAAGACGTGCAATAAAGCCAAATGTAGTAAATGAACTAAAAATAACACAGAAGCAAATTTTAGGGGTAGATAATTATGCCTCCAGACGAACCTCCTACTCAGGAGACTCACTCAAAACGAAAAACATGTCTTCTTTGTCCCGTAAAACCAAAGAGGAAGTCCAACTATACTTATATAAATTGTAAACAGGTAATATATTCCAAATCCTTGTGCAAGGACTGACAATAATTTGATACATATTGGACCATTGTCAGAATTTTTATATTTTAATTTGAGAAGATTTTAATTTGTTTTTATGTTAGTATCAGCCTTAGATTTATAGAAAAGAATATAAATTTTTCCTAAAAGTTTAATTGATTTAAGTTTTCAGTCCTAAACAGAGGGCCCTTAACATTTGATGTGCTTGAATTATGTAAGAAATAAATAAAGATTGATTAAAATCATCCAAATTATTTTTGAAAAAAAAATAACGAAAAACTGATAAGATATATTATAGTCTTGTTCGTTATCTTAAATCCAACTAACGTTAAATTAATAGATCCTATCCAGACGAAGCCTAGGCGAATCGGCTAGTACAGAATATGTTCGCACATCATCACACGATGTTGCAGGTTGGCTTTCATGTCGTCTGGCTGGCTGGTTTTTATGAATGGTGTACCGCGAAAATATAATCGTCTTTATACGTGGTACCGCAACGCTGTAGCTATATTATGGTCGCAGCACGAATGGGTCGACTCGACCACGCTGTCATAGAATAGCAGGTTAATTCGTGCTACCACCATAATATAGCCGCAACGTTTCTCTACCACGTTGTGCACATAAATAATACACAATTAAACTTTAAATCAATTTATAGTGCTACTTAAGTAGTTTAGGTGATAAGTGTTGACCTTAAATAAGCTTGCAAACAGCATACCGACATCGACCCACGTCTGCTCCAATGAGATACTATTTTTTTAAATGTTTAAAAAAAATAACAAGCCCTATCGGTAAAACAGTAATTAAAAAATCCCGACTGCGTAGTAATGTTCGATGAAAAGATAAAAAAATTGTAGCCTATTTCACTCTCACAATTAAGACGAATCTAACGACAACGACACCTCATATGTTAAGATCCATCAAGCTGTTTAGACTACCGAGCGTGCCCAAAGAAATAGACATACATACATACATACCTACGAAAAACATTATCCTGCTATTAGCCAGCAAACCCAATCAGAGATAAGAGAAAGCCTGGTGCCCGTTGTGACCAGGTTTAAGAAACGAGTGCTTCGGAGGTTTGGCCATGTAGAAAGAATGAACGAGGAAAGAGTGACAAAGCAAATTTATATTGCATAAGTGACCGGCAGTGTGCGGAAGGCCGACCTAGATGAAAGTTTATCGACCAAATTAGCGATATATAGAAGGGCCAGATTAAGAGTATCCTTAACCGACGAGCGTGTATGCGTAGGTATATGGATGTGGAGGAAGCGAGAGAAGTGTGTCAGGATTGTGCCAATTGTAAGTCCGTAGTCTCTGCTTACCCTTCTGGGTGACAAGCGTGAGTGTTTATGTTATGTTGTTTGATATTTTATTATTTTATACTTGATGCAACGTTCTCTATTATAGAACGTATGGACATTTGTATTAATGTATTAAACTAAATATGTGCGCGATGCTTTATATAACTATCTGAATGAATAGAGCTGCCAATAAAAAATGTTTTACCTGAGCCAAGGCCGAGCCACGGTGGGCGCTGTTTCTACACGGAAATTGCATCGCAGTGGAACAGGTACAGCGGCCGTACTTTAATTTATTACTATCTATTTGCAACTGGTGACAAGCGGACAGGGGATCGAGATCTGTTCCCGCTTATAATGTAAGTGTCGCGCATAGAATAATATATAATAATAATAACGTCATCCAGACCGAATTTCGGTCACGGCGACCAGTCCTCAACGGAGACTAGCCATCGGCGCAGGATAGCATTAGAGTGCACGAGTGTATGCGCAAGCACAGGTGCACTCTCTATTCCCTCACTCTCATAGTCCGAGGGATGGCCAGGACGGATCAGAAAGAAAAAAAATTTTTTTAATGTTATGAAGAACATGCAAAGGTAGCGAAGTAATCTGCCAAACTGTTTTTTATAGAATAAGAGTGGTAAACGAGCACACTTTTTACCTGATCGTAAATTGATGCTGTGGCTCATAGACATCTACATCTATCATCGATTATGAGTCAAAATGGTGCGTTGTGACCCCTGAGGACTAAGATGAAATGCCTAGTTTCCAGTAAAAAGGGTCGCCGCGTCGGTTCTCATAACATTAAGATGCTATTTTACACTGGTATTTTTTTTTCATAATTCTAAACCAACGCTTAACTACAATCCCACCTGATGTTAATTGTTGATGTAGCCTAAGATGGTGAAGCGCATTGACTTAACAATATTCACTCTTACCTTGAACACACTGTAATCGGATGGAAAGACAGATGCTAGCAACTTATTCCATTCCTTTGCTGTATCGCATCGCATGATGAACGATGTAGCAAACCGTTTGATTCGAATGCGTGGTAAGTCAACAACGAAACGGTGGAGACTGGTCGAACGTCTGGTTTTCCGGTGGTGGAAGGGGAAGAGAGGAATTAAATTATGCAATTCCTGCACAAACTCTCCGAAATGCTCCTGTAGAAAACCGAACCGTATTCTGTGAGAGCGTGGTCCTACCTCGGTCGAGTCGACACATTCGTGCTACAACCATAACATACTTGCAGCGTGACTCTACCACGTTAATGTATTTAACCAAAAAGCAATATTAAACACTTTTTAAAATGTATCAACGTTTAATTTACATTTGTATTATTACGCAGGTTGTCAGGAGTCCATGTGAACCTATAGAGCCACAATATCATTAAAAATAAGCACCTGCGAAAAGTTAACTTACGGGTAGAGCCGGTTACTAGCCCATTGAAATATATACAATAGACCCCAAAAACGGGACAAACATTTCGGAGCACAAGTGCGCTTCGAGTAAGGTTGCCTCGGCATAAAGGATAATTTGAAGCTTATTTTTTTTTATAGAATAAGAGTGAGAAACTAGCACACAGTACCTTACGGTAAATGGATGCTGTGGCCCATTGACATGATGCGTTGTCACCCCTGAGGACTAAGAAGGAATGCCTAGTTTCTATGCTTTCTGTGCATAATAAATATTAATAATAATAATACTTAATATTACATCGATTTAGAAACTAACTTTACTAGCTTTACTTATTTTAAGTGCCAACTGCATGTCTGAGTGACTAAATTGAAGTAACGAACATTATAGTATGCAGTTTCACAGATATCTCAAACCATAAAGATTTCTTATTTTTAATTTATTAGTCAGCAAATCTAAATAATTAGAGACCTGCCAAATTAATATAAGTATATCAAAGATTAGGCTACAGTAGCCTAATGGCAGGGTGCGAACCGCGGACTGAAAAAGTTGTGGGTTCGAATCCGCCATTCGACTACTGTTGTGAACTACTCCTAACACAAGCATTTAACGGTTACCAGGAGTGGTCAAAGGTAATATTAGTAATGTGAACAGTATTGCTAGTGTTTATTTTCAAACTAAAAAAGATAAATCAGTCGTTGTCATCAATCGATAACACTCCATAAATTGGCACAATATTTGTTTAAAAATTGCTCCAATAATAATCATTGTTTGGACATTGGGCACATATTTTGTGTGTATCTTTGAATCAAATACGAATTTTGTAGTCAGCGTTGCTCAAACGACGTGGTCCAAATGTTGAATCATAGCAAGCCTAACAGCTTGCGGAAAAGTAAATTGTTTAACTCAGTTGTTAATAAAAACACGATTTCAAATGGCTAGGATCATCCACAAATATAATTTAAGAATTAAATGAAACTTACTTTCAAAGGTTTTATCGCGTTTAACTTTAACTTTATAATTCCAGACTCCGATTAAAATTAAACGCGATAAAATCCGTAAAATTAGTTTCACTGAATGTGTAGTATTCCCGTAAATATAAGAAATCATTATAATTTAAGTAAATTGGTTTGGATTTGATTTGCCTGTACTATTGGTCCAATCGAGCGTTAATCGAGCCGAAT